TGATCTGCAGCAGCAACAGACTGCAGGTCCACAGACTGCCCAGAACCAGGAGGAACCAAGAACCAGGAGGAACCAGAACCAGGAGGAACCAGAACCAGGAGGAACCAAGAACCAGGAGGAACCAAGAACCAGGAGGAACCAGAACCAGGAGGAACCAAGAACCAGGAGGAACCAAGAACCAGGAGGAACCAGAACCAGGAGGAACCAGAACCAGGAGGAACCAAGAACCAGGAGGAACCAGAACCAGGAGAAACCAGGAGGAATCATGAAAAACCAAGAACCAGGAAGAACCAAGAGAAACCAGAACAAGGAGGAACCAGAACCAGGAGGAACCAAGAACCAGGAGGAACCAGAACCAGGGCAAAAAACACTCCAGGGTCTGCAGATCTGGTCTCTTCAGGTCCTTCAGTTCTGGTCTCCTCAGGTCTTTCAGTTCTGGTCTCTTCAGGTCCTTCAGATCTGGTCTCTTCAGGTCCATCAATTCTGGTCTCTTCAGGTCCATCAGTTCTGGTCTCTTCAGTTCTGGTCTCTTCAGTTCTGGTCTCTTCAGGTCCATCAGTTCTGGTCTCTTCAGTTCTGGTCTCTTCAGGTCCTTCAGTTCTGGTCTCTTCAGGTCCATCAGTTCTGGTCTCTTCAGGTCATCAGATCTGGTCTCTTCAGGTCTTGGTTGTTCACAGACAGATGTTGAAACATCTGGATCAACACTGAAAACGTTTGTTTTTAATCTTTAATTTATGTGAATAAATTATAAATTGTTCAGGTTTAATCTCTTCTCGCTTCTCTTTTTTTAACACAACTTGTGAAACAGCCCCGCCCCCTCGGTCTGACGTCACTGCTCTCCACCAATCACCTCCCGGATCCATCCTGCAGCTTTTATAACTGAAAGCATCCAGAAAGTTTCCCACAGTTCGGTTCGTCCCTCTGAGACCCGCACGGCCCCGCAGCCCACCGTGAAACCAGAGAGGTCCAGTCGGTTCGGTTCTGTTGGGTTTGGCGTCTCGTCACCATGCAGCCCGGGTTCCTCCTGTGCGTAACAGTCCTGTTCTCCTGCTGGCTGCTGTCCGATGCGCGGACCGTGGTCCGGCGCTTCGCCCCCAGCTGTCCGGAGCCCTGCGACCGGTCCCGGTGCCCGCAGATCCCCGCGGACTGCCTGGCCGGGGACGTTCTGGACCGCTGCGGCTGCTGCCCGGTGTGCGCGTCCGGAGAGGGCGAGCCGTGCGGCGGCGCCGGGCTGCAGGACTGCGCCGAGGGGATGGAGTGCGTCCTGAGCGGSGGCGGCGGCGGCCCGGAGGCGTCCGCCACCGTCAGGAGGAGGGCCAAGGCCGGCGTGTGCGCGTGCAGCAGCTCGGAGCCGGTCTGCGGCAGCGACGGGGTCTCCTACCGGAACATCTGCGAGCTGAAGCGGGTCAGTAACCGGGCCACGAAGCTGCAGCAGCCGCCCGTCCTCTTCATCCAGAGAGGAGCCTGCGGCAAAGGTGAGGAGGGCTGCGCGCGCGCGTGCGTGAGTGAGGTTTTATAATTAGTTAAGTTGAGAGTGATTAACCTGTTCCTGTTTGGGACCAGGATCAGATTTAGACCTCAGTGACGTCATCACAGACAGATTACTTCTCAAAATATTAATTTAAACCAAAGCTTAACTTAAACTAAAAATAAATGTTTGAACATTTCTCAGAAATGGGCAGGATTATTC